CCTCCATACTGACACCAAAGTGATTTTCCTAAAGCACAGGTCTAACTATGTCACCCCATACTCAGTAAATGCCAGTGGTGCCCTATTGCCTTCAACATCAAATGCAAAAGGTGCCTCCTAGGTGATGCAGTGGATAGGGCACTGGGCTTAGAATCTGAAAGACTCCTCTAAATAAGTTCAAGTCTGGCCTTAGGCACTTACTTGGCTGTGTGACCCTGGGCAAGTTACTTAGCCATCATTTATCCCTTATGCCTCAGTTTCCTCAACTGTAACAATGAGCTATAGAAGGAAATGACAAACCACTCCAGTATCTTTGCCTAGAAAACCCCAAAGTGGGGATGGGCAAGGAGTTGGGCACAACAACAAAAATCCTCTGTTTGGGATTCAAAGCCCTTTATAACTTAGTCCCTTTTACTTTTCCCATCTTCTCATACTTTGTTCCCTGACATGTACTCTTTTTTTTCTAGTGACACTGGCCTCTTTGCTGTTCTGTGGACAAGACACTATCCCTCCGGCCTAGGCATTTTTCCTGGCTGTCCCATATGCCTGGGATACTCTCCCTCTTCATCTTCACCTCCTGGTTTCCCTGGATTCCCTTAAGTCCCAACAAAAAGCCCACCTTCTAGAGGAAGCCTTTTCTAACCCCTCTAATTTTACTCCCTTCCCTCTCTTAATTATTTCCTATTTATCCTGTTTATAGCTTGTTTGTATACATTTGTTTGCTTGTTGCCCAATTCCCCCATTAGATTGGAAGATCCTAGAAGACAGAGTCTGTTTTGCCTCTTTTTGTATCCCAAGTGCTTAGCACAGTACATAGCACATAGTAGGTATTTAACTGTTTACTGACTGACTGAGGATGGGTAGACATTACAAAGAAGGCAGATTAAAGCTTGAAATCAGGAAACATTTCATAACAACTAGAACTGCCTAAAAGTAAAATGAGATGCTTTCGAATGGGATGAGTTTATCCTCATTGATGGGATTCAAGCAAAGGCTGGATGAGTACTTGTCAGATGAGTTGTGGTAGACACTGTTTTTTAGCTTTGAGTTTGACTAGCTTTCCACTGAGATAATGTAAATAAGTATACATTGTATTTGAAATACCTACTATACAACTATCATATCAACTGATCACATCAATGATATAATTACAAGATAGGAAAGATGTGTCTAGACAGAAGTTCACATGAAAAAGGCCTGGGGTTTAGTGGACTTCAATTTCTATGTAAGCCCCCAGTGTTCTCTGACAGGGACAGCTCATATTGTCTCAGGAGAGCTGATTGTTAAGTTTTCAGTGCGAGCATCAACACCTGAGAAATTGACAAATGCTACAAATAAAAGCTTGATTTGTTTTCTTGATTGTCTAGACTTATGAAAGGGATGAAGAAAATGTTAATATAGCAAATTAAACTGAAAAGTGTGAAATGTGTTTCAGAGATCTGGTTGTTAAAAATTTTCAAGCACAACCTAGAATGTGGGGAAGAACAGAAAGCTAGCTGGACCTGAGGGATCATGTCTAAAATGAGGAAGGAGTTCTAAAATCTGCTCTAGTCAGATCATATCTTGAGTATTGTGTTTGATTCTGTGCACCATATTTCAGGGAACATGTACAGAGGAGAACAATCAACAGAGTGAGGAAACTAAAAAGCCATGTCCAAGAGGATCAGATGAAGGAATAGGATTCTTTAAGCCTATAAAAGAGAAGGTTTGGGGGAGCTTAATAACTGACTTCAAGTATTTGAAAGGTCATCATGTGGAAAAGGAACAATTTTCTTGTTTTTACCCTATAGGACAGAACTTGGAACAATGGGTAGACTTTGCAAAGCAGCAAATTTGGGACCTATATAAGGTGGGGGGATTATTATCAATTAGTACTATTCAAAAGTAATATAGACTGCCTTAGGAGAAAGGGACTTTCTTATCACTGGAAATCTTTAAGCAGAGGCTGGATTATTCCTATTCTTAATGTTATAAAATGGGTTGCTATTCAGATATAGCTTGACCTGGATGCCCACTCAGTTTCCTTTAGCTCTGAAATTCTATGATCCTTATCTCCTGACCATTTTTATTCCTATCAACCTGATTGACATGCCCATTATATGAATCCACATAAGCACCATCTTTATCAAATTCCCATAGTGGCTATTCCAAATCTTTTCCATTCTCCTCAAATTACCAATCAGTCTTAGAAGATGACTACAGATCTTACATGGTGAGATTGAGATGATTTACCATAGGGTCCCTCACCTTCTCTTCTCTTCACCTTAAATTGTCTGTCTTCACCTATCCTCTCTTGCTTTACTTCTATCTTTAAGGAAGAAATCTTTCTCCTCTTTATTGCCTGTTGACATGACCCTCTTCTACCTTCTCTCAGTCCTTGTCCATTAATATCCTCTCTCTTGCATCTTTAATCTCTCATCTTTCATCATCTTCACTGACTTTCTTCCACCATCAATCCTGTCCTTCCAATCTAGTTACAACATGCTTAGCTCTCCTATACCCTAAAAAACTTTGCATTAATTTTTCAACCCTCCTCAAGATACCTCCATATCTTGCTCCTTCCCTTAACCACGAGACTTCTTGAAAGAGTTATCTACACTTAATTCCTCATCATCCATTCACTCTCCTGTAAGACATTTTTCACCCTTCCCTCTCTATTGGAATGGCTTGCTCCAAGGTCACTGATGACAAATCAATAGCCTTATCTCAAGTCTCATCTTCCTTGATCTTTTTGCAAAATTTAACCATATTCACCATTCCCATCCCAACTTCACAATACTATCTTTCCTGTTGGTTTTTTAAAAAATTAATTATACTATTTTAATTAAAAATTTTTTTTATTAATGTGGTCTCTGGTTCACACTTGGAGAATCACTGTGCCAACCTGAGGCATGTTTGGTTTCTGTTCCTCTTGTCACCCTGCTGACTATCTGAGTAAGACCTTGTGATTGCTACATCAGTCCCCATCAGGGAGTGTTTCCTGGTCAGACCACTTCCTTACAATGTCCCTTAGGGGAAGAAATGTCAGGGTGAGAAGGAAAGAAGTATGGTTTAATTGTCTACGTGGTGAAATTTCAGGGACATAAGAGAGGCTCCCTTGGCCTAGAAACATCTGCCCAGAGAATGTAGGCTGACATGAGGCCTGCTACCCTCAGTAGCCTGGGATTACAGGAGAACCTCAAGAGTCTATTAGGAAATACTACAAAGAGATGGTAGGGAGGCACAGCAAGAGAAGCCAATGAAGACACTGACAATTTCTCAGTTGTCTTAGGCTAGCCCCGAGTCTGGCCCCTAAGGCCATATGTCATCCTCGGCCCTGAGCAGGGGAGGACCCTCTGTTACTATTCACTGGGAAGAGAGTAATCCCTGCAGTGACTCTTCCCAAGGGGAGAAAGATGGTTTTCTCCTCTGAGCCTGAGTGATAAGTGTCCCAGTCCACTGGAGCTGCTCTGGGGACTTAGGAGGCTTGCACAAAAGACCAAGACCAAACAGTGATGCTAAAAGTAAGAAGTCTTTACTTGGCACATTTTAATTTGCACAAGGGAAAGCTTGAGGCATAAGGGGACACACAGGAATGGAAGCAGAGAGGAAAAGGCAGGGACAGCAGGGGAAGGATGAGCAGTCTCCAGGCTATGGCAGGAGAAGGGAAAGGATTCAATAATGGTCCTCCAAAGAGGTTAGTCCTTTCCAGCACCATGTGTTTTATACAGGGAGGGGTTAGGGTAGGTTATTGCTTAGTTTTCCAGTTCTGTCATCACAGGTAGCTGTATTTGTCACAGGACAACCTATTTCCCTTTCCTTTAAAGATATGGAAAAATGGAGGCATCCTGGAACTCCTGGGAGATAACCTCCTCTTACCATATAAGCCAGAAAACTTCTGTCAGCTTTTGTATGAGCAATGGACCCCCTGCCTGGTAAATCTCAACTCAAATAGAGTCAGCACCAGGTGCTTTGCCACACAGAAGGAGCCTAATGGCATTCAAAACCTCTTCTTCAAGTGGAACTTCAGCTAGGGAGGAATTGACTTCAATCTGAGGTAAACAATCAATGGTTTCAACATTGAGGATGGTCTGTTGAGAACACTATGGAAGTGCTCAGAACATCTCTCTAGGATCATGTCTTTATCACTAATCGATGTGGCTCCTTCAGCACTGAGTAGCTAAAATGCACCATAATGTCTTTGGTCCACAAATAGCCTTCAAGGCAACATAAAATCATTTTGGATTGTTATTGTCAGCATAAAACTGAATTTCATCTGCCTTCTTACTGAGCCAAGAATCCTGCATCTCTCTAAGCTTTGCTTGTACTTCACTTTTGATGGAATTAAATGCATCCTTGTCAGAGATGGATGAATGATTCTACTGTTCAACCCTGCACCACCTATCTGCCTTGATGATGCTTACCCACTGTGATCCTGGAAGTACAGGAAAAACAACAACAACAGCTCTCTGAATTTCAATCCAGAAGATTAGAAATTAATAGGAAGAAATCATAGAATTTTAGAACTCTAATGGATATTAGTTATTTTCTACTCCAACTGCCTTATTTTATAGATAAGAAAGCTGAGGTTGAGATATAGTGGATAGAGCCCTGGACTTGGATTTAGGAAGTCATAGATTCAAATCTGGCCAAGACAAGCTGTGTGACTCTATGCGTTTCATTAACCTCTCTCAGGTTCATTTTCTTTATTTTTAAAAAGGGCATAATAAAAGCACCAAACTCACAGGTTTATTGTAAGCATCATATGAGGTGATGTATATATGACACTTGGTAAGCCTTCAGTCTCAGATAAATGGGAGCCATTATGACCCAAGGACATAGAGTCCACCCTTCTTTCCTTAGCTATTTTCAGCCAACGATGACAGCCTTCTCATCTTCTCACCCCCCCACCCCACACACACAAAGAGACCAGTATTCTTATATGGACTTGGAAAAGATCTGTTAGTCCCAGGGACCAAAAATACCCTGTACCTCTCCTATTCAGGGTAACCATAACTCACCCAGAAGTAGCAGAAATGGCAGTAGTGGCAGCTGCATTCTGCTGGAATGAAACAGACCAGACCAACTGAATTGTCCACTGCTACCCTGGGACAGGATGTGACCTAACTGAGGCTTTTAGAAAGAGGAAGGAAACCAACATTTGCCCCTCCTTGACTCCATCGGTCATCAGGTTGCTTTTTCCTGAACCATGCATGCACAGTGAGATATAGGGATGAAGTCATGTAAAATTGTGAGGCTATTGTTGGCAATATGCCTTCTTTGTCTGTTGCCCTATAAATCAGGTAGGCACTGGTCAGTAAGTGAGGAATAGGAATGCACAAGAGGGATGTGCATGTTTGCTTGCCTTGATCAGCCCCTGTTAGGGCCCTGCTCTGGACCTCTGGCCTCCTGTAGGGGAGTTGAGACGCCTGGAGGTTATTACCTGCCCAGGAGCGCCTGGGCTTACCCAGAGACGCATGACGTTTACCAACCGTCGAATGGGCACTGGGAGGGCCTCTGTAACAGGACGGAGCTCCACCTACGAAGGAGGAACGGAGGAGGAGCACGGGCGTAGTGGGGAGGAGTTCGGGGGAGTTGAGGGGCAGCGAAGAGGGGGTGGGTAGTTAGGACTTGGGGCAAGGAGCGAGCAGAGCAAGTTTAGTTTAGCAAGCAATGTAATCAATAAAGACGCAACTGCCAACTTGGGTGTTCTGTCTAGTCATTCCCCTCTCACCACGGGGGGGCCGGAGACGTCCAAAGACTGCAGGGTGAGTATGCAAGCGAAGGCTTGGGTGGGATAGCTGACTAAGTGCACTACGTCAGCTAGGGGGCCCACCGGCACACAACAAGCCCCCATCAAGATTTGGGGGGAACCCATTTTGGGATTTGGGTAATGCATAGAGGAATGCATGTACCTGCCTCAACTGGCCCCCATAGAGGCTTGGGAGGATTTAGAGGAGTGCACAAGCTGGAATGCTGTGTGTGCCTTGATTGGCCCCCATCAAGGCATAGGGTTATTGTCTCCCCTTCTTGCCAGGCCCTGTGAGAAGGGTGATTAGGAAATGCTGTAGGAGATGGAGCTCACATTATCAGCAACCCTCTTGAGAAGACTAGATTAGAATAAAGTAAGCTTGTTTAACCCCTCCAAAGTTGTGCTCCCGTCTTCTTGTCTGACCAGATCAAGAGTGAACCTGTTAGAAGTTGGAGCCTAAAAAATTCCAGTGCCTCCTGTATTGTTACTTGTCTTGGAGTCCCAATGAAATTTTTTTTTTTGGTGAGGCAATTGCAGTTAAGTGACCTGCCCAGGGTCACACATAGTCCCAAGGAATTTTGATAGAGCAAATGGTGGATAGCCGTTTCCTGTCTCTGTTGAGTGAACCACCAGACTTCCAGGAGCTCAGTTCCATACCAGGTTTTGCCCACAACTGAGCCCTATAAGGTGCTGAAGGGTCTATTTGAACCAGCTGAGAAGTGGACCTAAGGCAGCCAATAGAGAATGACATGATTTGTCCATCTGTTATACTGATTTTGGGAGCAAACTTGGAGGGGTGAATGCTATGTAGAAACTGCTTTAAGTTTGAGTCCACTCTCCCCAGGGACCAAGGTGGCATAGGGAGAATGTACCCCTGGTTATTAGGGGCAAAGACTTCTACTTCTGTTCTTACTTGATCATCTCAGTAGCTATGCCTTTGTCAAGCTAATTGATATTCATTGTTTCAATGAAACTGGAGTGATATTGATGATAAAAGAGAGAAAACTGTAATTTGAGGGAGATTATATTTGAATGGAGTCTTGTCATTGACATGGAAAAGATACCCATAATTCATCAGAGTTCCCCCTAAGGAGGGATATAGCCTTGTCCTGTGAGACCCAATGTGCCAGTAAAGATGAGATGGGATAAGGCTCCCCAGAGCTTTTATGTGCTAACCATGCATATGTAATGTAATAGGGGTGAACTGGCCAGTGGGAGAGGTCTAGCCTTTGAACAAGCACAAATATTCCCTACTTGCTTTGAGTTCAAGAGACCATGTGGAAATTGGGTGAAGAGTCATTTTCTGGCTATGATGACTTGTCTTCTGGATTAGCTCCTCACCAAGCACGGATCCTGCCTTGGATTGGCCACCAGTCTCACTGACCTCACAGACTCACCTTACTGACCATATCCTCTTCTAGGTTTGGCCAGGTGGTATATTGAAATTTATGCAGTGACCCTCCCTGTTTCCAGGTAATTATAGTCTATTCAGGGAGGCCGTAGTCTGCTGCATGTACTTTTGATCCCATTCCCTACCTGTTAATTAGCACTTGCTTTACATGAGCCTTTGATCCCATTTCCCTTTATATCTAATCTTTTCCCCCTAAGCTTCAGCAATGAGAAGGAGATTAGACACAATGGCCCATCATCTTTTGGTGACATGTACCTATCAGATTTGTCCGCTCTTACTACAGGAGTCATTAAGAAAAGCATCCTCCATCTGGAATTTGGGGTTGGTCCTCTCCTTAGGTCAGTCTATTAAGATGTTTTCAATTTTGACTTTTAAAAAATAAACTGCTCTTAATTTTCTATTTTGAGTTTTGCCTCACTAATCAGGGCAAAAGGCCAAACAAAGATTTTTCCTTTTAACAGGTGATTTGGTACTGGGCTGGCTTCTCACCAGGTGGTTCCTCCTAGGAAGGTCAATCCTCTGCACTCCCTGGTCCAAGAGGAAGCTGCACCCTCCATGACTTTCAGCCACTGGCTAGACTAGGTGTTACAATCCTCTTTCTGCTGCGATATGAAAGGGCTCCTTTCCATATGGAATATTATTGTTCTTTTTCAGAAACAGCAGAGACCCTCTGGCTAAGATTGGCAGAAACGTCTGCTCTTTGACTCTCAGGCCTCAGCTCTGAGGTGTAACTTTGCAGGCAGGTGAGAGGCATAGCCTTTTCTGTTTAACCATTCTTCCCAGTTCAGAGCTAGAGTGAACCCCATTGTCATGTATTGTGACTTTTCTTCAATGGGGTCTTAAGCAAATGAATAAATATGGACTGAGGCAGTATGCTCAGTTTATTGTTTAGTCATATTTAACTCTTCCTATTTGGGCTTTTCTTGTAAAAAATACTAGAGTGGTTTACAATTCCCTTTTCCAGCTCATTTTTATAGTTGAGGAAACTGAGATAAACAGGTTAAGTGACTTGCCCAGGGTCACACAGCTAGGAAGTGTCTGAGGCTGGATTTGGACTCAGGAAGATAACTCTTTGTGACTCCAAGCCTGGCACTCTATCCATTGTACCACATAACTGCCCACATCATAAGCTCTACACATACAGAGAAGGAAACAAAACAAAACAAAACAAAACGCCCTATTCTCAAGGATTTTATAGTGTCTAATAGGGGATACACCATGCAAACAACTAAATACAAACAAGGTATACACAGGATAAACTGGAGATAACAGAGGGAAGACATTAGCATTAAGGTGAATTGGGAAAGCCTTCTTGTAGGCAAGAAATGAAGGAAGCCATTGAGATGAGGAGGTAGAAATAAGGAGTGAGAGAATTCTAGGCATAGGGGAAAATGAAAATTCCCAAAGTCAGAAAATGAAGTGTCCTGTGCAAGGAACAACTGAGAGAAGACAGGAAGAGGGGGAGGTTGGCAAGTTATGCAGGGCTCTGAAAAACAAATGGAAGATTTTATGTATGGTGGAGCCTCATGTGTTACAAGGGCTATCCTGCCTATAGCATGGAAGTGTTGTATGTCTTGAAGATGGTTCTTTGAAAAGACTAATAAGATTGATAATTAACAAATCTGATTAAAAAAAAGAGAGCAGAAAATAGATTCAATAAAATGAGTGAGCAAGGTGAAATCACAACAAAATCAGAAGAAATAAAAAAGAATAATCAGAGCATGTTATATACTTATATGCAAACAAAACTGAGAACATAAAAAAGAAGACCTTCAAAACTATAAAATATCCAAACTATCAGGCCAAATAGAGATCTTAAGTAATCCAGTCTCAGAAAAGGAAATTAATCTAACTGTAAAGAACCACCAAAGAAAAAAATATCTCCTGGTCCTGATGGATGCACAGGGAATTCTATCAAACTTTTAAAGAACAATCTGTGCCCAAACTCCACAAATTGTTATCAAAAATTGAGAAAGAAAATGCCATGTCAGAATTCTTTTGTAAGACAAATATAGTCCTAATACATAAATGAGGTAAAGATAAAACACAGCAAGAAAACTATATGCCAATATAATTAATAAACATTGACTCGAAAATTTTTAAACAAAATCCTATGAAACAGACCACAAAGATTTATCCAAGAAATTATTCACCCTGAACAAATGAGATTAATACTGAAGATGGAAGGATGGTTGAACATTAAGAAAACAATCAGCATAATTGATCATATGAAAAAGTCAAAACATCAAAATCCACATGATCATTTTAATAGATGCAAAAACAAACAAACAAAAAAAAACCTTTGATAAAGTACAACACACTTTAGGCTAAAAAACCTACAGAATATAGGTATAGAGAGACCTTTTTTAATATCATAAAAACCAAAATCAAGTATTGTATGCAATGAGGATACACTAGAAGCTTTTCCAATAAATACTGGAAGTACAGGAATGGATTGACAAGGGGAGGTGCTGTGAGAGCTGTCTTCAAATATTTGAAAGGCTATGACATGAAAGAATGACTAATCCACTTTGTCAAGCATCAGAGGTGAAAATGAAGAGCAATGGATGGGTGGAAATTGCAGAAAAACAGAATCAGGCATGATATAAGGAAAACAGTCCTAACAATAAGAGAAAGGTCCCAAAGTGAAATGGGTTGCTTGAAAAATTAGCTTCTTTTCACTGGAGGTCATCTAACAAGATAAATTAATAATTATAAGAGCTGTTATAGAGGGTATTCTTATTCAGGAGCAGGTCAGATGATATGACCACTGAAGTTCTTCCTCAAGTTGTTTGAACCAGGAAAAGTGTCATGACACCAGAACTCTAATCTTTCCAGAGATGTCAATTGCTGCTGTTTCTCCTTCTCCCTACTATGTTAAGGTACTAAAAGAGTCAGTTGCTGTCTATGGCTCCATTCAGCATTAAGTAGTTTCCTTCTTTATGCTT